GTCAGATTATCGGCTGAATTCTGGATTGATAAAGTGTTAACTGTATTACTGTGAGAGTTCAGGATAATGAAACGAAAATAATAACAGGAAAGTGTTGGCAATAGTTTGAATTTATTTTATGTTTATTCTGTAATATTTAGATATCTAATCACATAATGATACTTTAATCACTATTTCAAGCTTTTATTTTTAAAATTTAGGAATCATTTATGATCCTGTAATAAAGTTTGGAAGTATTCATGGAATAAATTAAAGAACTACTTTGAAGAAATTTTGAAGTAATGTTTTGCTGTCTTTATCCAATCATCCACTTACTTCTTAACAACTCAGCATCTTAACTGATATGTTTATATGTACTTTCCTTTAATTATTTTGTTCATAACACTATTTGTATGATATTCCCTTATTTAAGGTGTACAAAAAGTAGTTCAGTAAAGTTGAACTTTATGTAGTTTATAATAAAATAAATTTAAAGGATGCATTTTGGAAAGATAGATAGATGGACGGACCAGTTGATCTTCATGGCTAAAGCTAGCTAGCACTTCTGACTCTTACGTTGTTATTCAAAGATGCAATTTGAAAACTTCCATGCCTTCCAAACATTGTACTTAAATAGGATAAGATACTTTGACTAAAAGGGAAGAAGGTAAAATAATCTCCTTAGACTAATAAAATCTTTTTAAGGTTGGTAATACCATGTTTTATTGTATATGATTTGATGTCTTGAAGTGTTTTTTTTTAAATAAATACTGATTTATTCAATGCTTTATTTTAAAGTGTAATAATTAGTTAAGGTTGCTTTGGCTGTCTTCCAGCTTGTGGAGAGACTCCAGAACAAGTCCGAGCACCAAGTGGTATAATCACGAGCCCAGGCTGGCCTTCCGAATATCCTGCCAGAATCAACTGTAGCTGGTTCATAAGGGCAAACCCGGGGGAAATCATCACCATAAGGTAATTCTGATACCCTTCTGTATTATTACATGATATTTTATTACAAAATATAAATTCAGTTTCTAGGTATCATCACTCATCATGCAGTAATACAAAAAGATGATTTTCAGAAAATATAATAAATTATATTTATCGATACCATCTTGCAGTTAAGAGTAACAGCCCATTCTTCCCCTTCTGTTGGGGCATATGTTTGGAATATTTTCTAATGGTGGTAATGAATTTGCACCAAACCATCCATATTCTTCTAGGCCACTTTTTAACAAAAGGTACACAATTACAAAATAGCTTATTAGGATCAAGAGTATAATTTTTGGCCATGAGACAGGTAAACAAAACTCACTAATCCACTTGGAGATCTAGCCCATAATCTTGGTCTAACTGTTAATAGAGCCCTCTACCTTAGTGAGTAAAAACATGCTTTAGGCTATGTCTGTGTGTATGTATGTGTGTATAAAACTTGAAACAAGCTGATGATGGATAAATACTGTGTTCTAGAAAAGTCTTTTTTTTCATAACAATGAAACAAAAGAACGTTTGTTGAGAATACGAACTGGAAGATATTCTTAGGGAAGATAAACAAAAGTTTAAGATTCTGAGAATAAATACCAATAAGGAAGATTAAGATTATTTTAAAGACATTTAAAATTGCAAAGAAAAACTGTGGGAATAAGATACTACGGAGGAAATATTCAGTGTAACTAGATACTGCTTGCTTAAGGAAATTATATCAAGGTATTAGAAAGAAAATTTTCCTGAAGGGGAGAAAAAAAAAATAGTGTACCTAAACAAGGACTGTAACTTAATTAAGAATGCTGTCCTGTCACAGAGCCAGCACAAAGGCATCTTCCACATGCTTCCATTAGTTACACTTTTATAGGTAAGAATCATGGAACTTAAGATTTAGGAGAGACTTTACAGATCACAGACACAAATCCCTTCATTCTACATTTTTTAAAAAATTAGATTATAAATTTAGCCTAGTTTTGATTCTTTCCATCCTCCTTTTTTATATTTATTAAGTAATGAGAAAAGCAGTCTCTGGAGAAACACAATTGCAGTCTGTCCCCTTTACTATGTGGAAGCCATAAAACAGGGACATATGGTTTGTTTTCTTTTTGTTCTTTTCATCTGCCCCAGGTCATGTCGTCTGGAACACTGGAGCTGAGCTTATATAGAAGCTGTAACATTTCTCTGTGAGCATTGTAATTCCTTTGCCTGATGGATGGATAGGATGTACCATTAAGGTTATCCTTCTGCATCAGTACCAGTGTTGTAATCTGAACAATTTTCTGTTACTTAAAATATGACTAAGTACAGATGTGCTTTCAAAATAACATTTTACCACAGGGATTCTGAATATTCTTTTAAACATAAAACTAGAATTTTTGGAAATTTTTTTTTTAACCTAAAAATTCAACCCCAAATTAAATTTGTAGCCTGCCGGCTCAGTTATGTAAAACTCGGAAATTCTTGCCAGCACAGAGGAGGTTACATGGAATACTGCCATCTGGTTCTGATCATGTGTTGGATCCTTGAGATTTCACAAAGCTTTACTAAAAACTAAGCACAATACTGAAATGCAGACAGAATTAGAGGGTGAGCCCCACATCTAAGAAGATATCCTAAATTCTGGACAGAGTAAATGAATTTGGATTTACACAGTCAACCTCATAAAATGAGAGTAATTTTAGTAATTGTCCTAGTTCTTACTGAAATCATTATGGTGATACCAAACTTTAAGAAGATGACAGACCCACATAATACACAAAGTCACATTTCATTTGTGAGTATTGGTGTTAAATCTAAAATAAATCATTCAAAAGAAATTTATACATCCTCAAATTGCAGCTCATTTAGACATATAAATGAGTCAATATTGGGAAGTATTAATTTACCATATTAACTAGTCAAAGCAAGGTACTTGATTATCTAGACTAAGATGTTTTAAAACATTTTGGTAAAAAAAAAAAGAACTGCATTCATTTCTGAATTTAAAATAGTTAAAATCTAGATGAAAGAGGAAAATGAAATTGCTATAAACAAACAATATAAATTGGCTAAAGATAGTAATATAAAAGCTTTTTTATCCTCTCCCTTGAAATCTTCCAGAATACACAAAGGCCATCTTACCCATAGGAGATAGGGGATTGGATTCTTGTTCCCTGTTTGAAGCCAAGGACTAGGGTCAGGATATTTTGCTCAAGAAAGGAAGCTAAGCCAGAAAGAGAAAGAAGAATACCATATGAGATCGCTCATATGTGGACTCTAAAAAACAAACAAACGAACAAAACCAAAGCATAAATACAGGACAGAAATAGACTCATAGACAGAGAATACAGACTTGTGGTTGCCAGGGAGGCGGAGGGTGGGAAGGGATAGACTGGGATTTCAAAATTGTAGAATAGATAAAACAAGATTATACTGTGTAGCACAGGGAAATATACACAAAACGTTATGGTAGCTCACAGAGAAAAAAATGTGACAATGAGTGTGTATATGTCTATGTATGACTGAAAAATTGTGCTGAACACTGGAATTTGACACAACATTGTAAAATGATTATAAATCAATAAAAAATGTTAAAAAAAAAAAAAAAAGGAAAGGAAGCTAAAAAAACTTCTAACCTCTGCCAGAACTTTGATGGGGCTGAGAGTTTACCTGGGCATACCATGACAATTGGAAATTTAGCTAAGCCCCCAGCTGACTTTGCAGCTTGATCGGTGATACCACTGGGAACCACCATGCTAGGGCTGGTTTTGCAATGGAGTTAGTAGAGGTCGCCACAAAAAAGGTGCTTTGGGGGAATGTAAGGGGAGAGAAGATTTTTTTTAAAACTTCCACAAAAGCTTGCAACCCAAATTTCTAGAATGTGTGAAAAAAATGAATATTAATGAAAACAGCCAACAAAATCAAGCTGGAACACAAATTCACTACAGACAATATATGCTTTATTATATAGGGGGTTTTTTTCTTGACTTTTTTTATGCCATGAATCCTTTGGTAGTTTGATGAAACCTATAGATCTTTTCCCAGGATGTTTTTAAATTTATAAAACAAAATATATAGCATTACAGAGGGAACCAGTTATTCTTGAAATATAGCTATCTGATATTTCTACAGATTTACAACATAATACAAATATGCTTGTTAACGTATTAGTGAGCAAGTGATGGTTCTAACAATTAGTGTAATTTCAAAGTGGTTTTGAGTGTAAATAGTTATTTTAGAGATCTATTAAAACAAATGTAATATGAAATTATCTGTGATTTCTGTTGGTGACAATGTGAAAGACACTAAATACTGTTCATGGCTTGTTTATAGTCGTTAAGTGTAGGAAATGTTAAAATTGCAGTTACAGATTGGTGAAAATAAAGTTAAACATTTTTCTACTGAATTTGAGAGGAGAATAGAAACACTGAATACTCTTACTTAGACTTTATTAGAACAAAATTGAGCATCTAGTGGAAGAAAATAAAATTTAAAAATAGAAACCTATTAATACAGAAGAAAACAATAAAGGAGGAAAATGAGAGCTCCCCTCCCCCCAAATAGCAAGGCTATTCAAATAAAAAAACTAACTTAACCTTTGCAAGATAGACCGACTGATCAGGTTCATTGGTTGGTTAAGTGTTATTAACCCCTTTAATGGTCTTATAGGAACATACCTAAAGCAGCACTAACACAGAAAGTCTGAAAAATGAAGATAGGGAAAGATAAGCTTTGGAAGTACTGATTAGGAGAAAGCTAGTGTAGGAAGGTTAACAACAGATGTAATTGACCTGAAGACACAAAATATTAGTAACAAATGGAATAATCCACTAGGTATAATCGTGGTTAAACATTGTGTTAAACAGCCTAGAAACACAAGCAAAGCAAAATGTGGGAAATTACCAAACAAGTAACTAGTCCACAATTATAGTGGAAGTTTATAAACATACTTTTAATCTGAATACATTAAGCACAAAAAATTAGTAGAAATAGAGAAGACTCAATAAAATTAATAAGCTTCATCCAATAGAAGCATCATTATATATGTGTGTAATGTTTATACCTATTTCAGTGAACAGAGAATACACATTCCTTTCAAAAACATGTGAAACATTTATTTTTAAAAAACTGAATATGTATTAAATCACAAAGGAATTCTGACTGTATTTCCAGCCTTTACTTCATTCAGGTTGTGTTCTCTGACCATGATGCAGTGAAATTAGAAACCAATTAAAAACCCATATGTTCAGAAACATTTTCGTAAATAATTCCTGCATTAAAGATGGAAATTATGGTGGAACTTAAAATATATTAAAATAGTTATCATGAAAGCATTATATATTAAAACTGTTGGAACACGTTGAAAGAGTACTTAGAAATTTCTAGCTTTAATGCATTGATTTAAAAATTAGTAAGATGGGAAATAAATAAGCTCAGCGTTTTCTCAGCTGCTTAGAAGAATAGCTACAGGGTAAATCTTCAGTAGAGAAAATAAAGTTAAAATCAGAAAATAATTAAACAACAACAACAACAAAAAATGATTCAAAAAACCAAAAACTCATTTTTGGAAAGACTGGGGAAAATAGACAAAGACAAATTTCAAGGCAACAGTAAAGAAAAAAGAGGAAAGGTACCACAAAAAAACCCCAAATCTCAAGAACAAAAGTGTCTGTAATAATGAAAACAATGAGAGAGATTTTAAAAGTCATAAAGGAATACCATGAATGATTTATATTAATACTTTAATTAGATGAAATGAGTCATTTTCTAAGTGTGTGTTAACAAAATTGATTCAAGAAGAATTAGAAAACTTATTAATGCAATGGTTGTTAAAGAAATTAAATCAACAGTCAAAATAAGATTCTACATCCAGAGAGTTTTACAGGCAAGTTTTACCAAATGAATAGAGAAAGAATTTCTTTAACCTGATAAAAGGTATCTGAAAAAAAAATTAAAAACCAAACTTAACATTGAAGTTAATTTTAGCACTAAGGACCAAGACAGGGGTACATGTTTTCACTGCTTGGACTTGAACCTTCAGTCAATGCGGCACTCCAATAAGTAGTGATTAGTGGTATAATAAATGAAAAGAGATGAAACTCTTTTTACCAGTATTACATTTATCTATGGTAGAAAATCGAAACAAATTTAAAGACCACAGATATGAAAATTTAAACAATTGTATGAAAGTAGTATGTATAGCTTTGCAATAATAAATTTTACTTTCAAGATAAAATGATAATTTCTAAGAGCATTTAAATTATCAACACTGACTTAATGAAAGTTTAGGAAAAGCTGCTTAAACCAAAAAACATGAAGACATTGAAGATTTCTACCTAAATCATCTGTACTCTGAAGAAGCACAAGCACAGGTTTGTAAACCGTATCTTTGTTACATGAACTATTATGAAGCATAAAAAAAAGAAAAACCAAAAACACCGTTGCCACTTATAAATGTATTTTCAACATCCTAAGTGAAACATTAGCAGACCAAATCCCCAATAGTACATACACAATTAGATGTTTATTAACTCTTTTTTTCTGGAACAGGTCCCTCATTTCATGAATCTTAAACATTTTAGTTGATTAAATGTATATTTTTATACTTTATGGAAGTAGGTTGCTTCCATTTCTTGGCTATTATAAGTAATGCTGCCAGTGAAAACTGGGGTGCATAAAACTTTTTTCAACTAGTGTTTTTGTTTTCTTTGGGTAAATACCTGGAAGTAAAATTGCTGGATCATAGGGTAGTTCTGTTTTTAATTTTTTGAGGAACCTCTACTGTTTCTTTGTGACTGCACCAATTTACATTCCCACCAACAGTGTACAAGGGTTCCCTTTTCTCCATATCCTTCCCTGATTGGCAGTGAATCTTTAGAAATAGAATGTTTTGTTTTGCCAGAGTTACAGGGTATAAGTTACTTTTTCATATACAATCAGTGGAATTGAGTTGGTATAAACATTTTTCTCAGTGTCACTATCAAATTTAAAGTGGAAGTGTGTCTTTTGACCTAGCAATTCTACTTCTCAAAAAATTTGTCCTAGAGAAACACTTAGGTATATAGGATTCTTTACATGGAGAGAACATGTGTATGGATTCTTTAAAGCATTGTTCATAATAGTGAAAAAACTGGACGCAGTCAGATTGTCTGTCAGCCTTTGTTATAGTTACTCAGAATATTTAAAGAGGAAATATCCTGGTATAAAAATCCTTGGATAATTAACTTTATTATCGTTTGGTTTAAGGCAGAGGTAAATAATCTCACTTTTGGGGGAGAAATGTTACTGATAAATGATATTTTGGTTTTTTTTTTATTAGCTGTGGCTAATTTTGTATGTATAGCCAAACAATATCTTGTAGTTTGGCTATAAATGGTTTATGTAGAAATGTATTCTCAAACTCAGGGACTTTTCTCTGAAGAAGTTTTTTGTTCATTCATTTTTAACCTTTTTTGCTCAGGTTTGTGCTATTTGCTGTCCTGAAAAAGTAAGCTGTAAACTTTTCATTAAGCAAACAGAGCCAGTCTAATCTAAGAGAAGACTGACTTCCTCTGTGTGTTCTTCAGTTTATTGGATTATGGAAAGGTGTTTCTGGTTCAAGCCAAGAACAGTTTAGGGTGTTATAAATTAGAAGTTGTCCTTCCTAAACACATACAGGGAGAATCAGGAAGAAAAAAGGTGCCAACTATCGTCTGTTTTATAGCATTATTTTGTAGTCTGGTGTTACTTATGAAGTATTGTTCTGGAACCTGGGAAAGGGGTATAAATATTAGGAGCCTAGAAGCAGTAATATTGGCTGATGATATAGTTATATGCAGGGAAGACCCAGGAAAATCAGTGAATGTGTGGAAGCTTATAATCAAGTCCTCACTCACTTTGTATTATGAATTATTTTTCCAAAATTCCCCTTTCAATAGCCTTTTCTGACTTTTTATTTGTAGTTTTCAGGATTTTGATATTCAAGGGTCCAGAAGATGCAGTTTGGACTGGTTGACGATAGAAACATACAAGAATATTGAAAGTTACAGAGCCTGTGGGTCCACAGTCCCGCCACCGTATATTTCTTCACAAGACCACATCTGGATCAGGTTCCACTCCGATGACAGCATCTCTAGAAAGGGTTTCAGACTGGCGTATTTCTCAGGTGTGTTTTTAAATAAGAAGAAAGCTGTGGAACAAGATTCTGTAGTATTAACTGCTCAGTCACTTTAGGACGAGTCTTCTAAACAATGTCCATTTAATTGTGACCAAGTCCTAAAAACACATCTGAAATTGATGAATTAGAGGCCCAGTGTTCAGGTGCCCTAGAGCTGGATCTCAAAAAGGAATTTCGTATAATCCTAGGAACATGATTAATTTTAAAAACTAAAGTCAATCTTCTTTTTTTAAGAACATTTTAAATACATGTATTTGAAAAGCAACTTTTTTCCCTCAAGTGCTTATCCAGATCCTGAAAGTTACTTCGAATGTATTTTTGTATATGTGCATTAGCATTGTCTTGGCACCTTCAAAGAAAAGACATAATTGATTTATCCTTCATAGTTTGTAGCATCAGAAGTCATCTTTTGCTGTTCTTAAACTTTATCCCAAAAAGTGACAAATATGAACAATTCAGAGCATTAGAGTCAGGTCCATTTTTGGTGAAAATCATTTTACATTTTCTGAAATTACATGGTCTCCTTTAACAAATATATGCTGCTTTCTCCCTTTTTTTTGTAATTAAAAACACAGTCTTTGTAATATTTATTTAGGTTCTGAAGCACATTTTCTGTTACTTATTTACCAGTAAATATTAATGGAAAGGTAAATATTGGCCATCATTGTCAGTTTGGACCGTAGGACTCTTTAACGTTTGATTTTCTTCCCCTGCCTCCTTATTGTTATGTATTTAGGATAGAACATGAAGATAATTAGAATTCTATAAACATTTCAGTTCTCTCTCCTTCCCACTAGTATTTTGATGAGTAAATTTACACCTTCAGCTTAGATTCATAAATTATTTTGCAGTTGTATCAAAATAATAGAAATTATAAAATGGAAGTACCATGTTGTGGTTACATGAAACATATAAATAGTATAAACTTAGCTTTAGGATAATCTTAGCAAAAATTTGAGCCTAAATAATGGGCTCACAAAAAATTTGAGCCTAAATAATGGGCGCTATGACATACATAGCAAAATACTGTGTATAAATAACTGGAAGAATATTTAAAATATATTTGAAAAAGTGATTATTGTGGATAAATTTTTCTTCATTTCAAAATGTTTATACAATAGGTTATTTGAAATTCTTAGGCAATATATCATAGTGGCTCATATTTCTTACATCATTTTAGTAAATATTCTGCAATAAAATGGCTTCTGCAGAGAACTGAATTGGCCCTTTCTCTTTAGATCAGCTGCAGAGATCTTCATGGAACAAATCATAAACGTTTAATAAATCGAATTGTTGAGTAATCAGTGAGCCAGTATTTGCCATTAGAACTTAACTTATTTTTTGATTAAGCCCAACAATTGCTTGGGCTTAATCAACACTTATTATAAAAATACCACTTGCTGTTATATATCTTTTTAAAAGTATGTTTTTTTCTCCTTACCTCCGTATCTCCCTCTTCCCTATGTCCTCCCAGGGAAATCTGAGGAACCAAACTGTGCTTGTGACCAGTTTCGTTGTGGTAATGGGAAGTGTATACCAGCAGCCTGGAAATGCAACAACATGGATGAATGTGGAGACAGTTCTGATGAAGAGGTCTGTGCCAAAGAAGCTAATCCTCCAACATCTGCTTCTTTCCAGCCCTGTGCTTACAACCAGTTCCAGTGTCTGTCTCGGTTTACCAAAGTTTACACTTGCCTCCCCGAATCTTTAAAATGTGATGGGAACATTGACTGCCTCGACCTTGGAGATGAGATAGACTGTGATGTGCCAACTTGTGGGCAGTGGTTAAAATATTTTTACGGTACTTTTAATTCTCCCAATTATCCAGACTTCTATCCTCCTGGAAGCAACTGCACCTGGTTAATAGACACTGGTGATCATCGTAAAGTCATCTTGCGCTTCACTGACTTTAAACTTGATGGTACTGGTTACGGTGATTATGTTAAAATATATGATGGATTAGAGGAGAATCCACACAAGCTTTTGCGTGTGTTAACTGCTTTTGATTCTCACGCGCCTCTCACAGTTGTGTCTTCTTCTGGGCAGATAAGGGTACATTTCTGTGCCGATAAGGTCAATGCCGCAAGGGGATTTAATGCTACTTACCAAGTAGATGGCTTCTGTCTGCCATGGGAAATACCCTGTGGGGGGAACTGGGGGTGCTACACAGAGCAGCAGCGTTGTGATGGATATTGGCATTGCCCAAATGGAAGGGATGAAGTCAACTGTACCATGTGCCAAAAGGAAGAGTTTCCGTGTTCCCGAAACGGTGTCTGTTACCCTCGTTCTGATCGCTGCAACTACCAGAATCATTGCCCAAATGGCTCCGATGAGAAAAACTGCTTTTTTTGCCAGCCAGGAAACTTCCATTGTAAAAACAACCGTTGTGTGTTTGAAAGTTGGGTGTGTGACTCTCAGGACGATTGCGGCGATGGCAGCGATGAGGAGAATTGCCCGGTGATTGTGCCCACCCGAGTCATAACTGCAGCCGTCATAGGGAGCCTCATCTGTGGCCTGTTACTGGTCATTGCGTTGGGATGTACCTGTAAGCTTTATTCTCTGAGGATGTTTGAACGAAGGTCAGTATTAAGACAAGACTACAGTGCTTATGCTGTCCACTATAAAAGCATGGCCCAAATATTTGCACCACATATTTTAATGTGATTAGCAATGTATTTTTGTTATATTATTGTAGAAATAGGTGCATAATGTTTATGATTTACAAAATTACTGTGAAAAGCTTATGACTCAAAAGGCTAATAAATAAATACTTAAGAGTTATGAGGTGAGAAAAGCCAATCTGTATCATGATGTTCCTGTTTTTCAGATTAATCTGTTTTACAGGAGTTTTGCAGGCTGTAATTCTCCATTGTAGCTATTTAACCTGGATTTTTATAAATATTAATTCAACAATTCCAGATATTTGAGAACCTACTATGTTCAAAGCAGTATACAAGTGAATAGAGAAATGAGTAAGGAGTTACCTCCCGAGCAGTTTACAGTTAGAAGGGAGGAAGGAACTAATGGGTAGAATTAGATGACAAAAAATATAAATGTTGTAAGAGCTATAAAACAGTGGTATTAAAGTCAAAAGATCTCACTTAAGTTAAGAAATAGTTCAGAGTTAAAGGGTAGCCTTCAGGGAGAGTTGTCCTCCATGTGCTAGGCGACAGGCTGGTCCTGGGAGAAGTGATGGCAGAGAGGTCTTCATGCAGGAGAATTATAAATAATAGATACAACAAAGAATGTCACGTCAAGTATAACACGGCTAAGCATAGATGCACAGTATCTCAATAACCATGCTGCATCATTTCCTTGTGTAAGTATCAATGGCCAGAAAATTTTTTACTGCATTGCAACATGAAGACGAGAGGTCTTGAGTTTAAGAATGAGTTATTCCAGAAAGAATTGTGGTAATTCATTCCACTCTTCTCCTTATCTGAAAAATAAATGTGTTGGACTTGATGAATAAGGTGTCTTTTAAGAGTTTTCAAAACTTTCACCTAACATCTCAAGCCCCCTATATTCTTAGAGGTTTAAAGATTTAGTACCTTTACCTTTTACAGGGGTGTCTGATTTATTAAACTTAGTGATACAGGCCCCTAGTGTGAAACCCCATGAGGATAGACTGTCTGCTTCATTTTTGTGTTCTCAGTGTAGGGTCGTGTAGATACTCTGCCAATGTTGGCTGACTAAGCTTTCCAATTGATCAAACATATTAAAATTCAGATTGTTTTAATTGCTGATAATTTAAAAATTATCGTTTTGGCTTGTCTTTTTTTTTTTAACCCTTTTAATCCCTGTTTCCTCTCAAAGATCATTTGAAACACAGTTGTCAAGAGTGGAAGCAGAATTGTTGAGAAGAGAAGCTCCTCCCTCTTATGGACAATTGATTGCTCAGGGTTTAATTCCACCAGTTGAAGATTTTCCCGTTTGTTCACCTAATCAAGTATGTTACAATTTATGATTTCTATGTCAATACCTCTTAAAATAAAATCTGTACTTGCATGTAATGATAAAGGTCCTTGACTGTGTCAGAATTTCTGCAGTCAAGTCAAGAATTAAATATTTGGAGGACTTGAAATTATACAGTTGACTCCTGAACAACGTGGAGGTTGGGGCACCAACCCTCCATGCAGGTGAGAATCCACATGTAACTCGGCCCTCTCTCTGTGTCCAGGCTCTACGTCCACAAATTCAACCACAGATCATGTAGTACTGTCTATTAAGTTTACTGTTGAGAAAAATCCACGTGTAAGTGGACCCAGGCAGTTCAAGCCCATGTTGTTCAAGGATCAACTCTTCATTGTTTCATTGTATTTTAACAAATACTACAACATTCAAATACTTTTCATTCTTTACTTCTGATTTCATTATGTGATTCTTAAGCATTTTACTGCTTAGGATAATTTAGTGCATTAAAATTCAAAAGTAAAGTTTGACAACTTATTTTCTACATGAACTTAATATTTAGAAGATTGAAGAATGAATACCAAAGTTGATATGCCTAGTAATAGATTAGTAACAAGCTAGATTAAAATGAAAGTAGTTGAAATGAAGTTAACATTTCCACCTGACTTGAGAGAAAACTTCACAGCTGGATTTTACAGTGCTTAAAAATTCATATCATTTTCTTTAAATAACAATTCATTCTTTACTAAGGTTTCTGAATTCTTTAAATTTGTGTTAGTGATTTCTTTTTAAATTTCTTTTTCAATGCTTAAAATTGTAGCAGGGCTCATAAGGTCATAAAGGTTTATACATTTAAAATATAAAATTCATCCAGAAACATTTCTAAAAATTGTCTCCAGTATTAGAATTAAGAGAAATTGATAAATATTGTTTTCCCAGTGATTTAATTCTGTTCAAAATGGAAGACCATTTCCTTTTTGGTTAATGAGATTTCTGATTACAGTCTGTCACCTTATTTGTGACAAGGTCTTAGAAAATCTTTGTGAGAATCTGTAGTTTTAAAACATTTCTCTGGATGTTATTTGCTAGGTAAATAATTCAGAAGTTCCACTGGTTGGAATTTTGTGTGCAACATAGGAAAAACCTGCCTTGTGGTGTCTATATATTGTTAGTCCTGCCACTGGGAAGGTTTCTTTTTAGGCAGGAATTCAGAGGATGGTTAATTCCACCCACCCACTCTCCCACCTATCACCCACCACCCCTTAACCCTAAGGCTACCTTCTAGAGTTTAGCCAACTGTGAAGTTAGAGGGAGCACAATCCACTCTAAAGAGCCCTCGCTTCTAACACCAGTTACACTTCTAACACCAGTTATAAGTTCAGGGGCTCCTAAAACCATCCTCAGGTTTGGTAATTCACTAGAAGGACTAGAACTCATTGAAGGCTGTTATACTCATAGTATAACAGGTATAACTTTTATTGCTGGGAAAGGACCCAGATTAAATCAGCCAAAGGAAGAGACACATAAGACAGAGTTCAGGAGGGTATCAAACACCACCCTTCCAACATTGCTCTCGCGACACAGATGTGTGACAGTATGCATGGAACATTGCCAGCTAGGGAAGCTCACTCAGACTCAGTGTCCGAGGTTTTATTGGAGCTCCATCACACGGGCATGATTAACTGCACATCACGGTCTCTGGCTCCTCCAGACTGACTGATACTGCTGACTCAAAGCCCCCACCCTACTTCATACTGTTGGTGTGGCTCAGAGCCTCCGCCTAAAACACAGTATTACTGTCTGGCTGGTCCAGGGCTCCATGCAGCAACACTTCTATCAGAGATGACCTTCCAAGGTCTGAGATCTCATCCCAGAAGTAAAGGGCACAGATCAGACCTCACTTTGGGTAAGGTTTCATTCTTCACTACCTACTATAGTATTTCTCTAGGGTCATAATTTGCCCCTGTGAGGGAATTCTATTTCAGCAGTTTTAAAATAAAATACGTTTGCAGGTGGTAAACTACATTTTATTCGTTTAATGAGATTATATTCTCATTATATTGAAACTTTTGGAAATAAATTATCAAAATTTCCATAGCAGTTTTTAAAAAGAAAAATAACCTTCTGAATTACCATTTCATTCAAAATAGAAATCCTTTCTGAGGAATGCTTTCTTCTGCTTCATAAACTGAAGAAGTATATAGAAGTATTCCTAGAACAATCTTAAGATCCCCTTGTAGACACTAATGTTAAATTGGCAATCATTTAATTAAACAGACTTTGAAATGAGTAGAGAGCTTCACCTCACTGCGACAGACTGCACTGTTAAAGTCGGCTTTAAAGTGTGCAGGAGGCATTGTTGATCTTGATGGGTGACTGTCTGCATAAAGGGGAGGATATCTAGAGAGCCTTCTGTTCACTGCTGAATGTAATGACTGTGCTCACACAAAGCCTGAGAACTTGAATGCCAAATGAAGAGGACCAAGTCTATGGTGAAGTTCATAGAGATGTGAACTTTTTTTTTTATTTGTAGTTTATATTCTCAAGTAGAGAATCGTACTCATTTATATAGTAAATTTATGTGTGCTGATACTCAGATTTCTTATTGACAGTCTGTTCTTTACTAAGTCTAGACTATGAAATATTCTGGTGATAGTACCTTATTAGCTTTTGTGAATTATATTCTAGGGATTGTGTTCAAAGGTCTATATGGAAATCAAGAATAAATGCAATACCAGTCAAAAAGAGAGATGGGGAACGTATGCTATCACATCTTACTCTTTTCCCTTCTTTTTTTCTTCTGTGAGGGGGAAAGGCAAGAGTCATTCATTTTGGCAGAGGGAAACTGTATCATGTAAAAGGGAGTATATCAACTCATCATTATTTCTTAGGAATACTGTATTTTAAATACATGCCAGATTGATGAAAGCTCTGTTTGTTCTAAGTTTGATTACTACTTTTTATAACCACTAGATGGAGCTTAAAGACTTTTTATAAATGCTGTAGTTTTTTTTTTTTTTAAAAAAAAAACAAAACCTGAAAGTCAATCATCTAGAAGAGAGAGTAGATTTTTCTTTCAGTTGGACAATATAGTCACCTCCTATATGTACTAATTAAAAATCACCATTTTTTTTCAAAGAATAAGGATATAATTTATGTTTAACATTAAGCTGGTAGAAAATAAGACTTAACCTTTAAGACTGAGAAGGAACCCAGATGTCTCAGATACCATTGTATAGTGCTGTAAACAAATTAATTTCTTTGGCTTTTTGTTTCCTGTGCTGCATTACAAATATTCCTTTATTTATGACAATATAAATCAGTCCTCAGTATCTATTGATTCAACAAGTCCTTGAGAACCAACTGTGAAATATAACTTTCACGTATTTTAGAAAGTTTTAACCTTATAAATCAAGTCTAACTTGTTGTATGTTTAAAAAACAAACAAACAGATAAAAGGCCTAGTTTTCACACTCCTTTAGGTCATTTAGTGAATTATGGTAGAGATTCTTCTATCTTCCTAGCTAAAGACGTATCAAATAATTTTATTTTCCAGCTTCCATACACTTCTAGGATTAGATTACTCTGTGAAGTTTTGAAACAAAATAGCTGTTATAATTGACATTAAATACCATTTTAAAGTTGCATATATGAAATGAAGTATCAAGGAAACCTTAAACACAGTGAATAATGATTCATGTTACAGGTTAGATTCTGGTGTGGGGTGAACCTGTATCAGTGAGAGAATTTAATTCATCCTCCATAGACCCTGATAATCAGTAATAGAATTTTTAACCACAAGGCATTCTTAATAGTAGGGTATTTTCCGTCTTAGTACCTCATTGTTAGCTGTCTTAAGATTTTTTTTTCTTTCTTTTCTTTTTTTCTTTTTTTGCAGGCTTCTGTTTTGGAAAACCTGAGGCTTGCTGTACGATCTCAGCTTGGATTTACTTCAATCAGGCTTCCTATGGCAGGAAGATCCAGCAATATCTGGAATCGTATTTTTAATTTTGCAAGATCACGCCATTCAGGGTCATTGGCTCTGGTCTCAGCAGATGGAGATGAGGTTGTCCCTAGTCAGAGTACCAGCAGAGAACCTGAAAGAAGTCATACTCACAGAAGTTTGTTTTCCGTGGAGTCTGACGACACAGACACAGAAAATGAGAGAAGAGATACGGCAGGAGCATCTGGTGGGGTTGCAGCTCCTTTGCCCCAAAAAGTCCCTCCCACAACAGCTGTAGAAGCAACAGTGGGAGCAAGTGGAAGCTCCTCAACTCAGAGTACCCGAGGTGGTCACACAGATCCTGGACGGGATGTGACAAGTGTGGATCCACCAAGTGTGAGTCCAGCACGTCACCAGCTCACAAGCGCGCTCAGTCGTGTGACTCAGGGGCTGCGCTGGGTACGTTTCACACTAGGGCGGTCAAGCTCCGTAAGTCAGAACCAGAGCCCTTTGAGACAGCTTGATACTGGGGTAAATGGAAGAGAAGAAGATGATGATGTCGAAATGCTAATTCCAGTTTCTGAAGGAGCGCCAGACTTTGATGTGAATGACTGCTCCAGACCCCTTCTCGATCTTGCCTCCGATCAAGGGCAGGGGTTCAGACAGCCTTATAGCACGACAAACCCTGGAGTGAGGGCAAGTAATCGTGATGGCCCCTGTGAGCGCTGTGGTATTGTCCACACTGCCCGGATACCGGACACCTGCATAGAAGCAACGCTGAAAAATGAAACGAGTGATGACGAAGCTTTGTTACTCTGTTAGGTACGAGTCCCACCAGGGAGACTGGATTCAAGTCGGAGCAATATCCATTCATTGTTTTGTTAACTTTACAGTTAAACTAGTTTTAATTTAAAAAGAAAAAAGATGCAGGGTGACTTATTATCATATATTAGCCTGCATGGTTAAATTAAACAACTGTAACTCTATGAACTTTAGAGTTTACCGTTCTAGCAGCTAAAAGTGCATTATGTATACATGTTGTTCAGTAATGTTCTTCCATTTGTTTCTAATTGTTTTCATCCTGGTACTGTAGTTCACAGTAGAGATATGGCTGCTCAAACTCATTTGACTGTCAGTTTATCTATCCTATGTTAAAATGTTTCTTTGTACAAAATAATACCTTCTTTTAATTAAACCCTTTATGCTTTTGCCAATACATCTTGTAACTTAAAATACTAGATGTTAAGGTTGTTAATATAAAAAGAAAAAAGCCCTTATACTCACCTGTTTTTATTTATATAACATGTCTAAATAGTATTGGATTTCATCATGATATGAGCTTGTCAAGGGAAAAACCTTGTCTAAAATTTTTTCTTTTATGTTTAACATGCAGTGATGTGAAATTTAGTTAGACTTAGATAAATTAATGGCAAAAACAAAACTTTTATAGATTTTCTAATGTTGACTTTAATACTCAAATATGATACAAACCAAATGGTAAAAATCCCAAGTCATTTCTTTTTTCATCTCTATTTAAGGACAGAATTAAGCAAATGAAGATGTTCTACTATGCATTAAATCTTGAACTTTATACGATATGTACAAAAATTGTACAAGATATGTTCCAGCTGGTAATATCTTTCCCTGATACAGGGTTATGCTTCTATTGGACCCTAGGGATTTGCACTAAAATTATATCAAGGTCTCAGATGAGTTTAGTGTACAAGCACTATCACTTTAAATACTATTATTTGCTATCATAATGACTATATATTTCCATAGCTTTTTGGGGGGTGAGGGTGGCATTTTTATTACAACTTGAAGTTGCTTTGCTGGTTTCATATTTATTTGTTGTATTTAAAGATTGCATTATTGTAAGTAAGTGACTTTTTTCAATAAATTTTATTCACAGGGAGGATCATGCTACATGTTGAAAAGCAAATTAAATCATTCATATCACCTCCCTTTTTTAAGTAAAGTGAATTGCAAAACCCCACATATTTTTTTATTATCAGTTCCCATTTATTTATTCTTTAGCTGTCTGTTTGAATAGCTTAATGATTGAGTATGAAAAATGTATTTGTGTGTGATTATTGCTATTTATTAAATTTTAAATACTTTGCTGAATGTCATTTTAAAGCATGTTTGAGGTCTTGTGTATTTGTCGTGTTATGCTGTCAGGAAGAACTGACTGAAATGTTTTAATATGTATCAGAAATTAAAATGACTTTTTTTTTTGTATTGCCTTGAGGTACTTTTTAAATCCAAGTTGCTCTTTATTTTGTTCATTTGTTGTAAATACAAATTCAGGCCATGAAATATGCAATATGTCTAGAAGAGAAGCCAAAGGGGAGATATCCTTTCTTACCTCCCTTATCGTAAAGTAATAGCTTATACCAGTTCTTAAGGGTAAAAATCCTTAAGGACCTGAGGATTATTTTGCCTCTGAAAAAACTGCCTCTTAGTTGATGTATCTTACAAGATGCAGTAACTCAACCAGTTCTCTCTTTATATTATTTTCAGATACATTTTAGACCCCTATACATTTTACTGGCAGAATTTGGGTTACTAAATTAACCTTGTTTAGGTCCAATAATATTCCATCATGTACAGGTTTTTTGTTTTTGTTTTCTGGGATGTGTTTTAATTTCTTTGTTTAATTAACTTTGTTTAAACTTTTTGTTTAATTAATTGATTCAAACAGTAAAAAATAACTCCCTCTCCTACCCCTGACATTGGTCTTTTAGTTCCCTTTCAAAAGGCGACAGATATCAATACCATATTCTTGTATATTCCCCAGAAGCACCATATAGATACATAAGTGTATCCATATGTATAAATGCTGTTTTGTAATACAAATTGTAACATACTATGCATACTGTTCTGCACTTTTTTTCCCTTGAAAAAAAGTGTATCTACTACTGTTTAAATGTTAAAAGTAAAGTTGAGTATTAACTGTTACTTCATTTTTGACATTTTAAAAATTGATATATCCTGAATTTAAGGCTCCACTTTTTTCCCCTGGGTAACTAATTACTGCAAAGTTGTCTATTAAATAATCTATCCTTTCATCACTATTGGAAATGGCCCTTTTATCAGATTTTCATATTATATGGATATGTTTCCAGGCTCTCATTCCATTGTCTTCAGTTGACCTGCCTTTCTTTTTTAGTATGAGTCTTACACAGTCTTAATAACTGTGATTTTTATATGCTCAAAAATTCTTGCTTATTTTTCCATTTGAACTTTAGAATCAACTCATTATGTGCCACAAAACAAATCCATAGTACTTTTTTTTTGACAGTTTTACTTTTATAGATTAACTTAGGGAAATGTGACATCATTACCATGTTAACAGAGCTTCTGTCTAAATCACGATGCCCTTTCTGAAAATGGTTCCCATTTGTTAAAGTCTGTTTTTGTTGTTTCCTTCAGACATGCTTCACATTTTACTTTACAGAGATCTTGTACATGTTTCAAGAGTTCTAAGAAATTTTATTATTTTTGTTACCATTATTAAGGAAGTCCTTTTTGTCTATAATTTAGTCTGATTTTACTATACTGTTCCTATATATAGGAAAGCTAATGATTTTTTTGTTAATTTTCTACCCAGCTACCAGACTCATATTTTCTTATAGTTTACAATAGTATTTCAGTTAATTCTTTTGTGTTTTCTAGTTTTACAGTCATGTCTTCCAATTTGCATACCTCTTTATGTCTAACTTGCATTGTTTAGTACTGCTAAGAATAATGTTAAAATATATTGGCTATAATGAACTGGGTTGATATATATACATTAAATCATGTTAAAGAGTATCCATTGATCCCTATTTTAAAAAGAATTAGTCAAGAATGCATGTTGAATTTTATCACATGCCTTTTCCTTTTCTATGGAGATGATCATATGATTTTTCTCCTTTGATCTTTTAATATGATGAATTTTATTAATATATTTTGTAATTTTGAACCATCCTTGCATTCCTGAAATAAACTCTACTTGACCATATGTATTATTCTTTTAATATATTTCCAGATTGTTTCATATGTTATTTAGTATATTAGCATCTGTATTCATTAGTCTGATTAGTCCAGTGGGGGGGGGTCGCTATCTTTAAGAAGTTTTGTTATTAATTTTATGCTGGTAAATTTGGAAACATTTTTTTCCTTTTCCTGTGCTCTGGAACAGTTTACATAGCATTGGAATTTTCTCTTCCTTAAAATTTCAGTGAAGCTACCTGGGTCTGGTGGATGTTTGGTAAACAGCTCTTTTGGTGTCTGCCGTGGTCTGCGTAGTTTTTATGTCTTAGCTGGGATCATCATCCATTTTGTCCAAGTTTTTAAGTTTATTTGCCTAGAGTTGAGCAGAGTTACCCTTCCTCTTTTGTGCTTATGGCTCTTTCCCCCTTAATATGTATTATGCTTCCTCCCTTATTTTTTTAATTAAGATAACTAATAGTTAATTTATTTTTGTTGGTTTTTGTTTGTTTCCCCCTAAGTGGTATGCTTTGAATGTCTCTTCTATAATTCTTCTGTTTTCCAATTAATTTATTTTCTTTAATAAATTTCCTACTTTTTGCTTTCCTTACTTTATTTTGTTTTTCCCCTAACTCCTTGAGTTAGCATTTAATTCATTCATTTTTATTTATTCTTAATTATAAATATGAGATTAAAGATGTGGACTTATTTCTGAGCACTGCTTAAGCTGAATCACTTAAATGTATTAGTGTTGTCATTATTTCTATCTTCTAGGTGTTCTGAAGTTTCTGTTTTTATTTCCTCTTTAACTCAAACTATATAAAAGAAGATTTTTTTCCTTTCTTCTTTGCTGATTTTTTCTAGTTAATGGCATTTTGGTGTGGGTAGTAGTTTTTTGTTTTCTGATTCTTTTATTAATTTTCATCTTTCGGCATCAAGACCAGAGAATGTTATGTGTGTTATATCTGTTGTGGGGAGTTTATTGTCTTTTCTTAATTTTAAAAATATTTCAGGATCACTTTTTAAAAAAATGTGTTCTCTGTTTACAGGATATATATTGTAGTAGATATTTCTCAGTTTATCGTGTGTCATTTAGATCTCCTCCACTGTATTCTGCCTTATCAGTCTGTCTGTCAGAGCTCTGGTGTTGGGATGAAGGAAGAAAAAGGGAATAAAGGGCTGTGTTGCCGGGCTCTGAGGGCAGCAGCCGTGCCTCGGCTAGTGTCCCTCACTGGGACTGAGCATGTGGTGAGGGGAGTCTTCTGAAGCGCTGTCGGGGTTTTAGCTGCTGTTACCGCTTAACGCCATCATCCACTGTTAAACTGGAAATAAATGCCTAGGACTGATTAAAAGAATAAAGGACGAAAGAGCAGACTGTATTCATTAGGTGTCTGTTGAGTCCCTACTGTAGACCCAGTCATGTTGGCAGCAGGGACCTGCATCTTGCTCCGTTCAAGCTCCTTCCTCCTGACCTGCAGGGAGAAGACGACAGCCACTCGATAGGACCTGTTTTACTCAGACGGGCCCCTATTTGAAAATTGATGTCTCTGCAAAAGCTTCTTAAGACCTAGTCTCAGAAGGCCCGGAATGTCACTTCTGCCATGTTCTGTTGGTCAAACAAATCACTAAGACCAACCCAGATTCTACAGAAAGGGAAACAGACTCCACTCTCCATAGCAGACAGACTTAGCAAAGAATTTGTGCTGTCTTTAATCTACCACAGGACAGTACCTGCTGTACAGGAAACACTAAGTTGCCAGAATTAATAATTTTAAGCAGAAAAACAGTGCTACAGTCCCAGTAAGAAGCTCATTTCCTAGAAAGGACATCAGAGTAACTCAGCTCCTCTGTCATATATCAGGTACATTAATTGTGCATATCTTATATTTGTTTATTAGAAATACAACGGCATAGCAATTTGCCTTAGCATATTTGAATGAGAAATCAGAGCATTGATACAAATTTAGATAAGCATATTTAGGCAGTTGGTGAATGTTAACAATTAGTTATTTTTCATTTATTTCAATATATGTTACCATAACCTGTAAAATATTTTTAAATTTATTAGAGGCAACATCATGAGCAAAAATCTGGAGCCACATTACCTGTCCTGCTCCTTCCTGTCCTGTGATCTTCAGCAAATCACTCTAGTTCTTCATCTATAAATGCGGATAACTAAGGGCTCCTGGAAGAGCAAATAAATTCAAACATAGAAAGCTTCTGGAGCAGTGCGTGGCTCATTGTAAGGACTACGTGTTTGCTATTATTGTCATTGTCTGAATATTAAACAGAACATCTCTGAAGCTTGAATTAAATGAGATCTTGGGGGGAGGGTATAGCTCAGTGCTAGGGTGTGTGCCTAGCATGCACGAGGTCCTGGGTTCAATCCTCAGTACCTCCGTTAAAAATAAATAAATAAAACCTGAACACCTCCCCCCAAAAAACAAAGCAAATAAACGAGATCTTGTCTCTGAAAAGTCTGAAAAGAGTCGTGGTTTCCGAAGCTCAGGAAGGTGTGCTTTCCAAGTACTTCTGGGCAGCCACTTACCCTGGGATCATGGCAGGGAACTGGCAGCCAGAATAGAAGGCCCAGTGGGAGCAAGAAAAGGGAGAAGAGACAGTAGCAGCCATGTGACGAGCTGAAGGGAGTTCCAAGACCAGGAGACAGGAGCCTGCTGAGCTTGGGGCCTGAGGAAATTACCATAGTGGCTGAACCTGGAGACAGGTTTTCGTGGACTCTTTGAACCGAGTGATTTTTCAGATCACTTAGTTCCTTCATGGTAGCACACACTGCATTCTCAACATCCAGGGGGAGAGAAGCCTCATTTTAAGGATTCGAAGGAAAGCAGATAAAAAAAGCCCGAAGTCTCTGAGCAACTGCACCAGCCTAGGCCTGGTGCTGTTCCTCAACTTCTGGTTCCATGAACCAAGTGCAGTAGGCTTCTCAGTCACCCACAGAGCAATGCATGCCTAACTCATCGGCGGGTTCTTAAATTGGGAATAACAGCAGTGGTTTGAAAGATTCAATGAGACCATGTATATAAAAACCAGGTAGAATAGTGACAATTAAGGGCAGTGTGAGTGCTGGATAAATGATACCATGGTCACAGCTGACGGTCGGGTTATCAG